CTTGATTACAAATACAAATATGGTAAACAATCCTGATATCACCTACCCATGCCAGATCAATCTATACTCTTACTTAGACTAGATACACTTTGCTATTACTGGGTTGTAACCGAACCAATTTGATTCTTGTAGTGGAAATCAAGCATCATCAGACCAGGAAACATAATTCCAATGTTCTATTGTATAGTTATATTGAGCGATGTAAAATGTTCTCATTTTTCTCCTGACAGTGATGGTACCCAGTGTGGTCTTATACAGCTGTAGCCCATCCCCATCAAGGTTCATCGTGTCTATTCAGAGATGAGTAGTGTAAAGACTGTTTACAAGACATTTTTACCTATTAAACTGCCGCTGCCTGTATATTTTCTCTTTTGTGCAGAAAAATCAGTAGATCAGCAGTTTCTGAAATACTCAGACTGCCCTGTCTGGAACCATCATCAATGACACATTCAAAGTCACTTAAATCACCTTTCATCCGCATTCTGCTGAACTTCAACAGGTAGTCTTGAACACATCTGGCTGATTTGATATTTGTGTTAATTAGGAGTATAAACACTGGGATCTCATACAAGATCAAAAAGCACATTAGCTTTTAAACACAATGTACAAGCTGTGGCAATTATGTATTCCTTTAAGAAAAAAAGTAATACATAATTGCCACAGCATGACTTACGCACACCTAATTCATATCTAATTGGATTAGATTAAACTTTATGCTTAATCACACAACCTCACGGTGCTTTCCTGACAGATTAACATCAGCAACTCGCAACGGTGACATGCCATATGTGCCCATTTCCCATTCCTGCTAAATTGTCAATTAACATGTATGAAAACAGTATCATCTCTCATACATGTGTTCTATGTCTGCTCAACCATCTGTTAACTGGACAGTACTAGAGCCATACAACTGCACCTACCTCTACCCTCATAGATTTAACAATTTACACAGTTACAAGAATGATACAAAAATTTACAGCCTGAATAACAAAAACAGATTACAGTAATTAAACAATACAAGGCTGGGTACTCATAGGTATCAAAATTGCATACAAAACCTGTACCACTAATTTACTGAGTGTACGCATCTCACTGGCAGTCAAGTAGAGGTAATGCTATGTACTGTGCAGACCTCAAGTTCTCTGGATGCGATGAGGAGTTTGCTAAGAGCAGATGCCTGGTCAATGTCTCTTAGTATATTTTCAGTAAAGTAATACTTTGAAAGTATACTTAAACCAAAATGGGGTTTTCCATGCTGTTGAGTCTGTGACGGGGACAAGATGAGCACCACTTTAGGGTTGGGAAAGTGTAAAAGGCATGAATTCAATTATTTTGGATTTAAAGTAAGACGTTTAGCTTCTTCTTCCTCTTCTCTGGTTGAACGTGCTAGTGGTTTGGAGTGAGGCTAAATCTTAATACATTTCTCAACACAAACTTGTGTGATCATTTCATTTAAAGTTGTAAATACATACATCTCATTTTTCCAATGTATTCAACTGTGCCAAAAATTGAGAATCAAAATGACAGATACAAAGCTATATTCACACAGTAAGAGCACAAAACTGGACAAAACCAGAAAAGCCTTTCATGTTTACAAGTACTCTCACAACAAAAGGTATTAATAATGTTTTTTGATTCATACACTACATGCTGCTCTGGCCACAGTCCTAGGTTTGGTGTAGCAAAGCTGGCAGGGCATTGGATCTGACACAGGGAGAGACCTCATCAGCCACTTACCTCTTTTAAGAATTGGGGCCATCACCTTTCCAGATCGCACCTTTTCCTGGTGCACTCCCTGTAGTTCCAAAACATTCCAATGCCATTAAAATTATCCACGTAAAACTAGCCACATGAAGGCTAGTTGTTGAACCATACTGCTTACTGGACTGCTTACTGGGAAAAAACTTTGAAGTCTGTCTATTGCAGTTCACAAAAACATGCAAGCTAACAAACCAATGAATCATTCAAAAGACAAATCAACGACAAGAAATGGATCAACACTGATTTATTTGTTTACAAGACAAAATGTAAAAGATTCAAAGGAGGATAAAATGTTGCATGCAAGAAGAGATTCAAAGGAAGGACAGGAATATCAAAGAATAGGTAGATATGCTTGGTAAATGGAGTGGAAAGGAGACAAAGTAGTGGAGTGTGAATTATCAGACAGACCATTAGAAACAGACGCACACTGCTGTAAAGCACCAGTTTGCAGGCACGTCATACTGCAGCTCTGAGGTTTTTTTTCTTTCTTTCATTTTTTCTGATGTAAAATTCTCCCTTTGTGTCACCGTCCATTCCATTGCAGTTTAGCACAGAGACACCTTCAGTTGTCTAAATCACACTGCTGCATCATAATGGCTTGTGATAGATTTATATAATGGATTATTTGACACGTGAATCAGCACAGTGGATTTTATTCTTCATCTCTTTGACTAAAAGCATTTTTGGAATTCTTTCTTTTAAAGTGTCAAGATGAGAAATGTTCATATTAAAAGAAGCCGATTCAAGTTTCTTATGGATGCCTGACTATTGTTTAAAAACAGGCTTTAATGGGAAAATGTAAATATATCCTTTAACACAGAAACATGATGTTGTTGTTGATGCATTTATAAAATATAGACATTTCAGCCATTATTCATATGAACTGACCTGAATGAATGAATGAATAAAAAGATTTCTATGTTTATGTTATGCCTGCAATGGAATCCATAGGTCACTTGCAAAGCATGGCCTATATAACACTGGGAAAAACTAAATTCATTTATTTATTTATGTCCCCTTGTTTTCTTTTTGACACTTTTGAGAAAAAAACCCCCACTGTAAACACAATTTATATAATCAGAGATTCTCCTTCTGAATGTTTTCAAAAGCTACTGAAGTTTTATATAATGTAGAATAATTTAAATCGAATATATGACCTGGGGGGCATCCTTTCATTTAATATGGATTCAATAAAAAATTTTGGTAGGCACTGTATAGCGACGTGTTTCAGTTGGAGTTTAAAAAGTTGTTAAAAAAGTCAAATTTAATTAACTAGACCAAACCAGTACATTTGATCTCTATACCAACCAGCCACAACATTGAGACCAGCAGCCTCACACTGTGTAGCTCCCCTTTGTGCTGACAAAACAGCTCTGAACCACTGAGGCATGAACTCCAAAAGACCTCTTAAGGCAAAAGCTGGCACTGAGTCATAAAACTGCAGGGCCCAAAGTTGGAATCACTGATATTAGTACATATGAGAAGATGCACTCCGAGAAATTCCCAGGTGATTCAAAGTCGTAGCAGGCTGCTAATGTCTGATGTTCTTTTGTCGTGACTTTCTTTCTCAGGGAATTATCCTATCCAGTGTAATATAACAGTAAATATTTTTTTGTTTTCTAACTTGTCAAAATAGTTTCAAAGGAACAGAAGGTAAAAGTAGCTTTTCCACTTTTCCACTTTTTTGCACTGTCACAAGGTGCATAATTTGTTTTCTGAAAGAGCCTACTGCTATTAACTAATACTGTTTTTGCTGGCTGACAGCATCCAAAAACAGCAAGAGGAAGTTTTTCAGACCTCTCCAGACCTCGACCTGACCCAGTGACATGTCTAACCTCAGCCAATAAATTATGCCGGTGGTATCATTTTTCCATGTGAGTGAACGCATAAACCTCTTAAGTATCTGATGCAAATGTATGCATGTTTATTAAGTGTTTATGATTGTATGTAGAATATGTAGAAACAAGTAAGTTACTGCTCCCTCACTCTATGACAAATTAAATCCTCATGCAGGATTATTCTGTAGTGGAATTATTTTCTGGAATAGGTTTTCTCTTATTTTTACAATGAACTATATATTTACTTAAGCATAAGTTAAATAGTGGTGGGCCTATATATTAGTATATTTTGCCTGGAGACCTTTAGTTATTTTTAGTCAAAGTTTGCTGTCAAGGCAGGAAGTTTAAGGAAATATTGTCATGTGTTAAATTTTTTTGGCGTAACTACTTTTGAATATTAGAATTTTTTAAATCATTAAATTCATTATGGTATTAGTATGTATGTATTTCCAGTAAGGATGTTTTTGTTGCGGTTACTAACACTCCTCAACACCCATGAGCAAGTTTCAACAGCTGCCTGGTGATTGGCAGAACACCCAATGGGAGGGGACAATATGACACACCTACAATACACATCATCTCTTTATTTAATCCTCTGTAGACAGTGTCTGGCAAGTTCTAGAGCGAATCCTAAAATAATACCACAACTCTAAACATGACATGCAGTCTGCAATATCCTAGTGTGTATTAAAAGACATGATACAAAAGCATTTATAGCTGCAGCCTTTAAACTTGGCCTAAATAGGAAAGATAAACAACAACAACACATTAATGGCAAACCTGTTGTTAGATATTACATGATGATGTTTATCAACTCTAATATGCCAATCTGCTATGAAGATTTTGAAAACAACCCTCTCTGGATATCATACTTTACCCATTTAAGATGATCATGAATACGTATTTCTACTCCAGTTGCCACATCAATATTAGCCATTTAGCTACTCCCTATTTTGTTAATAAAGGTTGACAGGATGATAATTATTATGTCCCAGCAGTCAAGAATGGATTGCTTCTGAGGAATGCCAAAGTTAGGTTATGAAGTTATAATGCACTGGATGACAGGACATCATCTCTGCACTGAAAATGTGTAGTTTTGTTTAATGTTTTGCAACGTCCCTTTCCAGGTGATATTTGGGTTTAGTTTATAATTAAATTGTGTTGAATGGTAGGACGATTAATGTTTTGTCCATCATTTTATATGCTGGTTGTATAAACACACATTTTAGAAAGAGACAGAAAGAGAGGGAAAGATTCAGGCTTCAAAACAAAAAAACAAAAAAAGAAACTGGATTAACAAAAAAAAATTCTTTAATAGGAGTTCAACCTGCTGCCACCCCCCACCCCTTCACATTACCTCCCTGCTTCACCACCCACTCAACCTCCAATGTCTTTGGGGTCACGACTAATACAAAAAAGCCTAAACAGCTTTTGGCAGTTACTGGGTCCGGGCAGTAGAGGAGCATTGAGCTCAGACTTGCCCACTGCTGGAAGGATCTATTACACTGAAAAAATTAGGAGAAGGCACAGTGTGACCAGACTGCTGTCTGAAAGAGAAGAGTGCTAAGAGGACTGAGGCAGGTAGGTGGCCCTCAAAAATGAAGGCTGGATAAGTAAATGTAGAAATGAATTGCAAAAGCCTATCCTCTGTAAGTTTGCAGCTGGGAGCGCAATCTGCATAAATACAATGTCTACCATCATTGTTTATATCAGAAAGATGTCAGTACTTTGTAAACAGGTGCTTAAGGTTGCAATAAAAAAGCTAATGTGTAAATGCATGAGACATGAAGAGATGTTTCTATTTTCCTATCCAAAGACTGAGCTTGAAGCTTAAAAGTGCATATAAGTCACGAATGTGGTATCTGATTTCAGTTTCTAAAATTACATTGCATGCAGGGTTTGCTATCATATTAATAATTCAGATATACATTAAAACTTACAGGACTTGATTTAATTACAAAGAGGACAGAATTGATGTTGCTGCATGAAATTGCTTAAGCAAGGCATGTAGGCTTCTCAGTTTGAATTTCATAGCTATAAATCTGGGAAGCTCATCATAGCAGTATGGTCAGAGCTGTGAGGTTGTTGGGTGATGACTAAGTTTAGAAGGAGGTATCAAATCAATATGTGACCTAAGATTCAAGAAGCTGCATAGAAGGAGTGGGTTGTATTTTGGCAGAGAACTGGATTTCTTTTTACATTAAATGAATTCACAGGGCTACAGTTCACAATGTACAAATCCTAACACTGAGCACATACGGTGCATCTCTCTTGCATTTAAAGAGTGAAAAAACAAAGCAAAATGCTGTATTCAGTGCAGTTAGTAGCTTAAATAGACAAAGACCAGCAGACTCATTACAACATACATATTACATGTAGGCTAAGTATTTCTTACATGTTTTGAATAGCATTTATCAACCGAACATAAAAACAAATCCATTGGGAGGCTCAAATAGTACCATTAACACTTGGACACTAAAAGACATGTCATCAGACTCAGTTTTGTGTTAGAAAGTGACTTCAGCTGTGCATCTTGTGCACTCAGCTGCAATCAGTGATGTGTAGAAAAATGCAGTGAGGGACATTTGAGAAGCTACCAGATGCCATTTCCAGAATATGTAGTCAGCGGTGCAGTCATCTGCAGTAGGTGTCACATGCGCTCTTACGTATTGGGTGCAGTCTAGTTGTCTGCTGTTTCTCAAGTTTCTCAAGAGTCTCCTTTACAAATGTCTATATGTTTAAGACTCCATTTCATGTTGGTAACATAAAAAGAGATCATTTCAGTATTGTAAGCAAAAGAAATACATAGATTTCATTACATAATAAAAAACCAATCATCATAAATATATCAGTGCTATTTTTTTCCACTTTTAATTAAAATGAAGAACATAATAATGAATAAGTACAGTAGTGAAGTATACAGGAAAACATATGAGGCAACAACAACAAATACTTTTCTGTAGCAGTGGCCCAGCATTTCAGATAGTCCATCTCTAATTTCAGCCGTGGCGCCTTGTTATCTTGCCTGCAGTGACAGCCACCCTGCCTACATACTGGTTATATGTAATGATTTTTTGAAGCGTGTTTTTTTTTCTTTTGTTCATTTTTTTAAGTAACAACATTTAATGAAATGCAGCCTGCAGCATAAACCCGTGAATCTCTGGGACAGTGACTAAGACAGATTTATTCTGGAATGCATTGATAATAAAAAAAATGTCTAGAATATCGGCTCCCCCACAAGTCAAAATTTAAAAAAACAGAAGCAAGCCGCAGCAAAACAGTAAATGATAAGAGCTAGCACAGCATCAACTATTCAGTGGAAGAGAAGATGAGAGCGTTGCCTTTTGCAAGATGTCTCCTTTTGCGTGCTGTTTTCCCTTTACCATATGTGTTGTTCATTCTCAAGACAGACCAAGTGCCAAGATCACTGCTGGAGCCCAGAACCTTTTTAACATATGCTAGAGCATGTGCACAACTATAAATAAAACAGTTATTTGTGGAGATGTTAATGTGGAGATTATTTGACATCCAAATTATCCCTATATATATATATATATATATATATATATATGAATACATTTCAGCATTAATTTCAATATTTATTTCTCATTCTTAGCTACTTGAATGAGTGCACGGGCACAGATTAGCTGAGTGTGGACATGTCAGTCTCTCAAAAGATCATCTCAATAGATCACCCATATCCACCACACACCAGCTTTCAATTCACCCAGCCTAACAACCTTCAAATGATTAGAGGAGTTCATATAGCTTCAAGCACACATGCTTTCTGAATGCCTAAATTTCTGTAAGAGCAACATCAAACAAGCAGGATAACAAAGCAAGCATAAATTTAAGAATTACATGAGCAACATTTCAAAGTCATGAGCATTTTGGTTATGGCTGTTTATTCATTAGTAGAGTGTGACACATGAACTAAACCACGCTTTAAACACTAAAAACTGTTCAAACACATCCTGAACCAGGGGTAACATATACACACACATATATGAACAAGACTTACCTCTTCACATCAACGTTATCTTCTAAAAATCCATGTTGAGCTACAAAGTAATGACAATAATATTATTTACCCATAAGTAACCACACCCACTGTAAATCTCTGTCCAATGAGGAAGTTAAGACGTCTTAACATGACTCTTTGGTTCAAATTTTACAAGAACAAAAAATAGTAATGGCATAAATCCATGATCTTTTATAACTGTAACGAATGCTAATTTGTCAAGTGTTGTGTTGCACCTGATGTTCTAAAAAAAACCAACCCCAAAACTATGGCGTTATTTTTGTGCCAATATTCTGAGCGCACGTAAAAAATTTTTTGCAGGTGCAAGTGTTGCATTTTGAGGAGAAATTTATTTTGAGCGAAGAAAAGCTGAATTTGAGTGAACAGAATTCATTGCTGCGTGCAGAAAATGTATTTCAGTGTTTGCTATTATTCACACACACGCACAATAGCAGCCCCTCTCGCTCAGTTTTTGCATTTGAGCTTGCTCGCAATGTGTCGCTTGCGCTCTCAACATTTCTGCCCGTGCGCGCTCAACTCTTTCTCTACACCGTTATATTTGTGCCACAAAACCAGCCAATCACAGACTTGGATGCAAAAAAAATCTGATTGGCTCTTTTGGTCTCCAATCAGCTCAAAATGACGAAATGCAATATCCCAGAATGCATTTCGTCCAAAACTCTAACGAGGCAGTGGCGGAGGAACACAGAGTGGCGGAGTTTGAAACATTACTCTGTCTGGGTCACAAAATAAACTTTTAAGATATTTTCATGCCAGAATGGTGCTGTGTAAACTTCAAATATCTGCTCGATTTATCAAGACATCACATATTTGCATAAGTGCTCTAACGTTTTCGGAGATGCCTGTTACCCACCAGCTGACCGGGTGGGCACTCGGGTTAAACATAATATAGGCTCAACTGACAAAAAAATCGCCGACTACACCACCAGGTATTATAGGAAAACCATAAAGCCTTTGAACTAAAACAAACACTGTTGTGACAGTGACGTACACTGTCTTGTTGGTATATATGTATGATTTGTATGACCTTAATGTTTTCCTCTCACCACGTATCAAAACCGATATCATGAGCAGCATTTACAGCTGTGGCTCTAGCAAACATCAGCTGATACTAGAAAGTAATATTAAAAAACAGCTGATCAAGCTGCTGTTGTTTAGCGCGTCATCAGCTGGTTTCCTCTTTCTGGCGTAAAGTGGGCGATAAACAAATGAGAGACGATCAGCTGATCATTGATCAGTTTCATGATTGAAGTAGCAACAGGAGAGGGAGGGAGAATGAGGGGAGAAGAGGCAGCTGTGCAGCAAAGACAGAATAACTTCAGCTTTGTGTCTTTTTTTTTTCCATAGTTGCTGAAGTTTGGGACGAATCGCGTTCCTTTTCCCCTCAACACGGATGTATTGTAATTGTTCCAGCCCAGAGTTGATCATGACCAATTGGCTAATCCACCACCTTTCATTGTTTATACTGTTACAAAAACAAACAAACATAAACATGAAAAATCACCATCGGCCCAC